GACTTTAGTGGGATCCTCATCTGTTTCAATCCCGTTGTTGTTAGTTGCCATCGAGTCAACTCTGACTCATGGCAACCCCATGTACAACAGAACAAAATGCTGCGTGGGCCTGCATCATCCTCATGATCGCTGGCATGCTCAAGTCCATCACTGTGGCTACTGTGCCAGTCCATCTCAACCAAGGGTCTCTCTCACCCTCACTGGCTGTCTCTTCACCAAACGTGATGTCCTTCTCTATTGATTGATCCCTCTTGATGACGTGTCCAAACCAAGTGAATTGGATAATATTCTGTCGTGATCCATAGGGTTTTCACTGGCTAATTTTCAGACGTAGATCACCAGGCCTTTATTCCTAGTCTGTCTTAATCTGGAAGCTCCACTGAAACCTGTCCACCATGGGTGACCCTGCTGGTATTTGAAATAGCAGTGACATCACTTCCAGCATCACAGCAATGTGCCAGCCACCACAGTAGGACAAACTGACAGAGTAAGAACTCCATAATCAATGAGCCCCTGCTGGCATATCTGTGCAGAGGCACAGTGCCTGCTCCCTACCATGATGCCATGGTTCCAGCCCACCCCCCTCCACAAGTGAAGCCTATCTCCCCAGGACTTCATCCTCCCAGTGAAACAGGGAACGCCTTTCCAAGGCAGCATCTCTCAGCTGCATCCCTGTCTCAGAGTTCCACAATAGTGCTTTTCAAGGATCCTGGAACACTCCTTACCAAAGTATTTCCCAAAGCCTCTGTGAACTGAGGTTCCCGTGAATCCTATCTGAACATCGTGAAGCCTTGGACAAACAGGTAACAGATGATAAAACCTATCCAACATGTTATTGCACTAAATATTTGAATTCCTTCTTCTACATGATGCCAAGGAATGTCTGGTATCTCAGCTTTATGCAGCATGGGTCTCTGTTGAGTCTAGGTTTCTGCCAGTCAGCGGAGCAGACTACTCTTGGCTGCTCAGTTGAGCAGGGGGGTCCAGAATGGCTGGTAAGCATACCCAATTATATCCAGTCCTCTCTGACTGGCCCTCTGAGGTGACCGAGGGTCCATCTGCAAGACCCAAGCTTCTGGGCAGGCTGCACAGGTGGGCTACAGGTGCATACCCCTGCCCCAGGTTTCTGCTGATAGATGTTTGCTGCATTCGTCTAGTCTGGGAGCCTCTTGTCAGGTCAGACTTTATGCTTGACCCCTGCAGCATGCTGGGGTCTGGGGCAGTGAGCAGTTGCCAGGAGGGGCGTAAGGAGAACTGGGTTCCCCTCACAGGGCAACAGCAAATAGTGGTCACAGGGTCTCATGTGAGGGGTCACAGGGCCTCAGGAGAGGGGTCACAGGGCCTCAGGTGAGAGGTCACAGAGCCTCAGGTGAAGGGTCACAGGGCTTCAGGTGAGGAGCCACAGGGCCTCAGGTGAGGAGCCACAGGGCCTCAGGTGAGGAGTCACAGGGCCTCAAGTGAGAGGTCACAGGCCTGAGGCGAGGGGCCGCAGGGCCTCAGGTAAGAGATCACAGGGCCTCAGGCGAGGGGCCACAGGCCCTCAGGAGAGGGGCCACAAGGCCTCAGGAAAGGGTTCACAAGGCTTCAGGCGAGGGGCCATAGGCTCTCAGGAGAGGGGTCACAGTGCTTCAGGAAAGGGGTCACAGGGCCTCAGGAAAGGGGTCACAAGGGCTCAGGTAAGGGGCCATAGGGCCTCAGGTAAGGGGTCATAAGGCCTCAGGTGTAGCATCACAGGATCTCCAGGGTAAGCAGGGCCAGCTTTATCCAATGGAGGGGAGGGAAAGGCCACTTCCATTGGCAAGGGAAGTTCAGGGGGGCTCAGGACTCAGGGTACTCAGACTTGTCCAAATCCACACAAATGCCCTTGTTCCTACTCTCGGAATCCCAGCCTTTCCCAGTCAGTGTCCTGCCTTCCACACAGAGAGCTCATCAGCTGTAATTCACCTTAAGTTGTCATTCAGTCACTTGAAAGATCAGAGAATGGGGGGAAGCAGTAGTCAATTAAATAATGGCTGAGAATTTTCCAGAAGGATAAGAGTGTGAATGCTCAGATTAAAGAATCACCATGAGTCATGAGCAGGGTGAATAAGAGTCATCCCACCCTGGATATGCCATACAGGCAAACTGACTCAGGAAGAGATGACACCACACAATTCAGCAAATGTCAGGAAATGCTTCCAGTCACAGAAGACCTGAAAAATGGAATCAGTTATTTAAAAGTATCCCCACAAAGATCATCATATGCCCAGTTTTTTAAATAAAATGGTACAAATTTGATGTAAAAGAAGGACAAAACCAACCAAGGACAGTATAAGAAAGGGAAATCTATGGGCCGATCTCACTTACGAAATATATGAAAAATCCTGAATAAAATATTTGAATCTAGCCATGCACTAGACACACACATGCACACACATGCATGCACATCATGCCAAGTTGGGGTTTATATCCTAGGAAGCCAGAAAAGGCTTAACATTAGAAATTCTTAACATTCACACATTAAAGGAGAAAAAACTATGGCATCACAGTTCAATATACAGTCATGATTTTATAAAAAAGACTTTTTAAAAAATATTTTTCAGTTTTATTGTGACCAAAAAATATATAACAAAACATACACCATCTCAACAATTTCTGCATATATAATTGAGTGACATTGATTACATTCTTCAAGTTGCGCAATCATTCTGGCTATCCTTTTCCAAATTATTCACTACTACTAGCATAAACTCAATGCCCACCAAACAAAACTCCTCCTTGCAGAAAACTCTTAACAAAATAGGAATTGAAGAGAATGCTCTTTACATGATGAAAAGTGTCTACTAAAAACCTAAAAGAAACCCTGGTGATACAATGCTTGAGTGCTCAGGTGCTAACCAAAAGGTTGATGGTTCTAACCCACCAGCCAATCTGCTCCCATAACGATTACAGCCTAGGAAACTATGGGGCAGTTCTATTCTGTCACATGGGGTCACTATGAGTCAAAATAGACTCTGTGGCACCTAACAACAACCCGTTAACCCGTTGCCATTGAGTTGATTCTGACTCATATCAACCCTATATTACAGAGTAGAGCTGCCCTGTAGTGTTTCCAAGGCTATAATCTTTACAGGAGCAGACAGCCACATCTTTCTTCAAAGGTACCACTAGTGGATTCAAACCTCCAACCTTTTGGTTAGCAGCCGAGCACTTTACCCACTGCACAACCAGGGCTCCTTTGGTAAAGACTACAGCCTTGGAAACCCGATGGGACAGTTCTACTCTGTCCTATAGGGTCACTGTGAGTACTCCATGGCAGTGGGTCTGATTTTAGTTCCCCAAGTCTGGGCCCACCCCACTGCGCCACCAGGGCTCCTCCCTAACAGCAGCTGAAAATCTACAGCAAGTTTTATGCTGAATAACCACGCATTTGAGACATCTTCTGTGGGGAAAAAGAAGCAGAGATGCCTTCGGAAGATCTCTGCCCAGCCTCATCGGGGGTTCGCACCCTCCTGGGGCCAGCTGTAGCTGAACCCTCATCCTGCAGGTGCTCTGGCACATGTCACCATGAGCGGGCTTATCTGCAGGTGGCAACTTGCACCACCCACCAGTTGGTGGGAATTCTTTTTTTTTTAATTGTGCTTTAAGTGAAAGTTTACAATTCAAGTTAGGTTCTCATACAAAAATTTATACACACATTGTTATGTGACCCTAGTTGCTCTCCCTGTACTGTGACAGCACACTCCTCCTTTCCACCCTAGATTTCCCGTGTCGGTTCAACCAGCTCCTGACCCTCTCTGCCTTCTCATCTCGCCTCCGGACAGGAGCTGCCCATGTGGTCTCATGTATCTACTTGAACTAAGCAGCACACGCTTCACAATTTTCATTTTATGTCCCATAGTCCAGTCTAATCTTTGTCTGAAGAGTTGGCCTCAGAAATGGTTTTAGTTTTGGGCTAACAGAGAGTCCAGGGGCCATGTCTTCTGGGGTCCCTCCAGTCTCAGTCAAACCATTAAGCCTGGTCTTTTTACTAGACTTTGATTTCTGTACCCCACTTTTCTATGCTCCGTCAGGGACTCTCTGTTGTGTTCCCTGTCAGAGAGGTCATTGGTGGTAGCTGAGCACTATCTAGTTCTTCTGGTCTCAGGCTGATGGAGTCTCTGGTTTATGTGGCCGTTTCTGTCTGTTGGGCTAATATTTTCCTTGTGTCTGTGGTGTTCTTCATACTCCTTTCCTCCAGGTGGGTTAGGACCAACTGATGCATCTTAGATGGCCTCTCACTAGCTTTTAAGACCCCTGACACCACTCAGTTGGTGGGAATTCTTGCACGCTGAAAGTATGTTGTTGCAAGATGGTGTTGCCAAGCATGCCTGGAAGATAGCTTTCTCTCAGACAGACTTTTCTGTTCTGAGAAGGAGCACTCTCGGCCAAGCACGTTGCTGCATAAATGGGATGTCACTGGCTGAGAGTTAACCAGGAATGTCCCTGACTTGTGACAGGAACCACAGGTGCCATGTGCTTCCTGGGCCATGGGACAGACACACAAGGGGCATTGGAAGATGGAGTCCTTGGTCTGGGTTCATTAGCTGCCATGACCTCCAGCCCAGCAGAAGATGGTCACAGCTCACGTTCCCGAGTGCTTTCCTCAGGCTGGGCAGTGGGCTGGCCACAAGTTAGTGGGTCATTCCCAAACAGCCTGGCAAGCAGGGCCAGGGGAAGACTGGCCGAGGTCACCAGGGAGGTAGCAGAGCCAGGTGGAACCCAGGTTGCAGTGGATATGGCGGTGGATTTTCTGATGTTGGGAACATGGGTGGAGCTGTGGGAGGAGGAGGGGGCTGACCCGCCAGTGGGGCCCATGTGCCCCTGGGATGTTTGCAGAGCTCAGAGCTCAGAGCCTGGCCCCCCAAGCCCCCTGGACAGATGCTCCATGGACAGCCCAGTCCCAGGCTCCCACCCTGAGATTCCAAAATCCTGGCCCAGCCCTTTGTCCACATGAATGACAAGCACCTCTTGCTTGCAAGGAATGCCATGTGGCACATCGAGATCCTGGAGGGTCAGATGGATGCTGCCCGCAAGGCCCTCAGGGAGGAGGAGGCAGCCGAGGGGAGGCGCCTCCAGGCACAGGCAGCTGAGCGGCTCTGCAAGGAGAAGGCAGCCTTCAGGAAGGCTGAGCGGAACCGGCTGCTGAGGATCCGGTGAGTGGGGCCTGTCCCACCCGAGGCCCTAGCCCTGTGCTTACCCACTGCCCTCTGCTTTCCTCACTGTCAGTCCTACAGAGTTCACCTCCTGCTGTGGTCTGCCAACACCCACCTGGTTCTTTCTGCCTCTCCCCCTCCTCCCCTTTTATACCATTGTTTTTTGTTGTTTTTCCTTTGTTTGCACCCATAAACCTCACTACACACACACATATATACACACAAACACACATTTTTGCTATTTCAGGTACCCAATGCTGTCTTATTTTTTCCACTGGCCCCATCCCCCAGCCCTTGGCATGAGCACAGGATGGAGGCCAAGGTGCGAGGGAGCGGCTGTTGCAGGCCAAACTTGGCCATAGCTCTTGGGGCACTCATTCTAGCAGACAAGCTGTGAGCTATTGCATGACTTCCTGTTTCCGGTCTCCTCCATGTCCCTGCAGGAAATCCATGCATGTCCAGAAGGAGCACGGGCTCCGGCACCAGAAGCTGGTGGAAGATGCCCAGAAGAACCACAAGATCGCTGTCAAGTTCCTGAAGGCCTCCCTGGGCAGGTGCTGGCTTCTCCCCAGACCCATCCCTGTTGACACACTCGGAGAGGTTCTGGGAGCGAGGGCCACTGGCTTTTGTCCTGAAGTTCCCTAACTCTATTGTTAGATTGACACCACATTATCAAAGAGCAGTAAGTCTGTGTGTTAGTGCTGAGTTGCTTATCTGCTTATTTTTAGAAGAGGGCCACAAGATACAAGGAACCCCTAGAGTGTAGAGAAACATTTTAAACAATTTTTCCTTGTAAGCTAGCATTCAGCCACAGCGCTTTCTTGTTTTACCTTTTCTGTGGTCGTGTTTTATAAGTTCCTGGTGATGATGTCCAACACCCAAGGGCCCTTCCTGTTCTGTAATGACTGTCCCACCAGCATGACCCAGGTGCATGCCCAGTGAGAACCGCTTCCTTCCTCCAGAATCCGGGAGCAGGAGCAGAAGGAGGAGATGGAGTCACGCAAACATCTGAAGAGGCGCATGGACGCTGTGCTGGCACTAAAGAACAACATCACCGCAAACCGGGTACACAGCCTCCCCTCCCAACACCTGGCCTACCTGCCCACCATGTCCTCCTGAGCTCCCGCACTTGAACCCTCATCCAGATGCTCCTGGAGACTTACTGAACTCCCGCCATGGGCCTCTTGCCCACCAGGAAGAGAGGAGGCTCCACCCTGCTCTCCTGGGGCCTGGCTATGTAGGAGGGCCTTACACCCAGATTAGGCAAACTGGGAGACCAGGCACTGGGAAACCCATAATGAGGGAACAGGCCCCATGCTGGGAAGTGGAGTGGGAAGAGTTGGAACAGCATCTGCAAAGAATCAGAGGCAAGAGGAGAGGAGCGCGCAGTGAGGCAGAAATGGCGAGGGACAGAGCAGTGGGAGCCAAGGGAAGGAGGCTACAGAGCGAGCAGCCAGCACATCCTGCAGAGACAGCTTGCACTCGACATAGGAGGCCCCTGCAGGGTCCTGACTCTGGGAGGGACAGGGTCAGAGCCCCGGCTGGGGCTCGACCTCGACCTTGGGTGAACACGGTGGGCAGGGGATGGGTAAGGAATGACGGTGATTTTCACAAACAGTTCACCACAAGCATCTGCAATGTCAGAATCAATTTAAGGATACCTGTTCAAAAGAAGGAAACCCTGATGGTGTAGTGGTTAAGAGCTACAGCTGCTAACCAAAAGGTTGACAGTTCAAATCCACGAGGTGCTCCCTGGAAACCCTATGGGGCAGTTCTACTCTGTCCTATATGAGTCAGAATCAACTCAATGGCAATGGGTTTGGCTTTGGTTTTTCGTTCAAAAGAAAGTCTATCTGCGTGTGTGCACATGTATGCATGTATGTGCGTGTGTACACGGTGTGGGGGTACGTGTGCATGTGTGTGCTCATAAGTGTGTGCACTTGTATCTGTGTGCACATGTATATGTGTGCACCTCTGTGTGTGCATGCACATGCATATGCTAATGCTGTGACTTCCACATTCTTCATTTCCAAGGAAACGCTCCGGAAGTTCCAGGCGTGGGGCCAGGCCCGGGCTGAGCTGGCAGAGCAGAAGGCCCAGGTCGAAAAGGAGGCAATCCTGGCCCAAGGCGGGGATGCATTCAAGCAGCTTTTCCATCAGCACCGGCGCCAGGAGCTGGAGGCCCAGAAACGGTGAGGGCAGGCAGGAGGCGCATGGGGGGAGGTGGGGGCTTTCTCTTCCTGGCCTCCTATTTTGGGGCTGGGGGCCCAGGGCCTGACCTCGGCCTGTGACTCAACCTTGCCAGCCCCTGATTCCTGCCTAGCACCTGCTGTCCACAGCCTCCAGTGCCCTAGAAGTGGGGCTTCCAGGATTCGAGACGTCCTGCTCAGGGTTTCCGTGAGGCCCCTGTGCTTGCCTCTGCCCCCTCCCGCACCCTTCCCGCCTCTCAGCCCTGCATGGTGCCAGTGCTCTGGTGATGTCAAGTAGCCAGGCCAATCTTCAAGATGCTTCTAACTGACGCTGCCCTCACCAGAAGCGCTTTTCTCCTCCTCCCTTGGTCAGGGTGGTCTGCCCCCTGGGAGTTACAGACCCTCAGCGTGTCCACAGGCTCGTCCACACTTTGGACACCCTGGGCATTCTGCAGTCACCTGCCCACCTGCCCACCTTGGGCCTCAGCTCAGCATAGGCCCAGCACATGGGAGGCACCCAGCAAAGAGCAGCTAGAACAAGTGAGGGAGTGAATGAACGAGTGAGTGAATGGCCTCAGCCCTGCTTCTGCCCTCAGTGTGCCTCAGCCTGGAAGCTGGGGTAGAGGCAGCTCATGAGAGGCCAAGGTTTCCTGTGGGCACTGGTCCACTGGGCTGGACTGGGCAGGACGGGACAGCGGAGCCAGGCTGGGCTAGGGTTCAGGCCCTGAATGTCCAGCCTGGCAGCATTCTAGCTCCCTCCATCTTCCCCCCACAGGAGCCTGGGGCTCACCAGGACTACACTGTTCACACCCCAGAACTGGGCTGGGTGTGAGTGGTGGGGAGGGGACTGGAAGGGCCAAGCCCTGTCCCCCAGCCAGGGCAGCGTGAGTCCTCCCCCCTCTGAGGCAGCGTCTTCCCCTAGGGCCTTTGAAGAGGAGCAGAAGCAGCGGAGGCTCGAGATCGTGAGCCGGCTCTGGAAGGAGGAGGCCGAGGAGAACAAGAGGAAGAAGCAGCTGCTCCCTGCCCAGACCGCGAACCGGCTCACACTAAGGGACAAGACCTGGTGCTATGTGGCCGACTTCTGCGAGGGCCTGGCCACCACAGCCGCCTTGTACCCGCTGGTGAGCGAGACACCCTTCCTGGTCCCCATCCACTCACTTCGTGTGGGGTAGAGGGGTGTTAGGGACACACGTCCAAATTGTTGTATAAGCCTCCTGACGAAAACCAAAGCAGAAGAAACTGCCCAGTCCTGCCTACGGCATTCACGCCTTCTAGTCCCCAGCGTGTTCCTGCTGCACAGGGACCTTCTTGCACTTGTGCTGTTGAGGACCTCGCCCCGCCCCCACCATAACTCTTTCTGTTCCCCTTGTCCCCACCCCAAGGACCGTCCCGAGCAGTGCTGGGTGTCCTGCTGCCCGTGAAGTTCCCCCAGAGTCCTCTACAAAGGCTGCCTCGCCCTCAGCCTGCACCCTGCACGACGGGGTCGTCGGGCCATCGCGGGCCAGAGCGCCAGGCTCCTCCCACCTGACACCAACCCTTCCCTAGCAGACAGGCTGGTGCCCCACAGCCCTGGCCCCTGGAGAGCTGGAGTGCCCCGTGCCTTGCTAAGGCTGAGACAGCAGAGGCCACCGGGGCTCAGTCCCACCTTCACGCACTCCATGTCAGAGAAGTGAATTTCGAGACGAGAGACGTGCCTCTCCCACAGCCACAGCAGCGCAGGCTCCCCGCGTAAAAGCGCCTCCGCGGCTGAGCCCTGCTGCCCCGTCCGCATCCGGCTCTGCCCCAGCCCTGGCTCAGGGCGCCCCCTGCTGCCGGCCTCCCCACAACAGTCAGCCACACCGACAAATGCTAAAGCCGAGCACAGAACTCGGGAATTGCTGGAGTGATTTGTCTGACAAGTCATTCTACAGCGTATGTCTGGCAGATAAAGGGTAGGCTTTAAAATGTTGATGTTTATTCATGTATTTATTTACACGTTGCTATGCCTGACTCAAGCCATGGTGTTTTCAATCACCTCATATGTGTGTGAAAGCTGGCCAGTGAGTAAGGAAGACCAGAAAAGAATTGACGGCTTTGAATTATGGTGCTGGTGAAGACTATTGAATATACCATGGACTGCCAGAAGAACGAAGAAATCTGTCTTGGAAGAAGTATAGTCAGAATGCTCCTCAGAAGCAAGGAGGACGAGACTTTGTCTCACATACTTTGGACATGTTATCCAGAGTGATCAGTCCCTGGAGAAGGACATCGTGCTTAGTAAAGAAGAGGATCCGTGAAAAAGAGGAAGACCCTCAAGGAAAAGGATTGACACAGTGGCTGTAACAATGGACTCAAGCATAGCACCGATTGTGATGACGGCACAGGACCAGGCAGTGTTTCGTTCTGTTGTACACAGGGTCACTGTGAGTTGGAACAGACTCAGCGGCACCTAAGAACAACAACATACCCACCATGAGTCTTCTCAGGTTCAACTAAATTTTCCGCCTGTAAAGTCCCCTCTGAGGGTCACAGGACAGAGGCCACAGCCACCCACAGGCAGCGTCAGTCACTCCTGCCCTAAGCAGCACCCGCCTGGAGCTGTGCCCTCCCGGTGCCAGCCTAGGGACAAGGTGCCAAGGCCCACGCCATGGGTGCCTGGCCCCTGACAGGCCACTCTCGCATAGCAGCCTGTTGGCTTGCCCCACACATGGCCGCCCACAGCCATGCCATCCCCGCAGGACTCAGTGTCCTTCTGGTCCGGCGTACCAGCCAGGGCTTTCTACTCCCACCCCCACCCCTGCCACCAGCCTCCCAACAAGATGGACCCTCACCATTTCACCTGACTCCCAGCCACAGGGTCGGGCAGGGAGGGGACCGAGGTCAGCTTGTCGGGGAAGAGTTGTGAACCCATTTAGCCACACATACCTGTCCTCTCTCTCTCCTTCCCCTCCTTCCCTCTTTTTCCTCCCTTCCCTCCCTTCCTCTCCCCTCTCCTTCCTCTCCTTCCCTCTAATCGCTCTTTTCCCCTCCTTCTCTCCTTCCTTGGTTTCATGGGCCTGCTGTGTGTCCATTGTCATCGGTTGCAGGGTGGGGATGGGGTGACAGTTTATTTTGCACTCACCTGTGAGACCTCCTGAGCTGAGCACTTGGCTTCTGCCTCTGAGTGAGGGAGCACCCAAACCTGAAGATCAAAGCCACGGGCTCCAGCAAAGGACTGCTGGCAAAGCCCAGCCTCAGCTCCTTCACCTTGTCCGCTAGGGTCCTCACGTAGCTGCCCATGCCCTTCAGAATATGCTTTCCTCTCTCCCAGGCCCCTGCCTAAGCCACCCCATCCACACTGCTGACCGGCTCTTCCTCTGCTTTGAGTCCCCCACCAGCTCCTCTGCCCTCAGAGTCTCTCCCGGCATGCTCTGCTCAATTCTCATGGAGAAGCCTCCCCTGCCTGCCCACCTGACCCAGCGCTCCCATTATTCCACCCCGTGGCCAGTGCCCAGGCAGTTTCTGGGGGAGCATTTCTCACCTCGGCAACACCGTCCTCCTGTCCTTGTCCCCTTTTCATGTCTCTCCCTCCAGGAGGAAAGCTCTGTCTGAGGGGCTCACTAGCATGTTCCCACTTCTCCTGCGGCCCAGCGGAGTTGCGCTCTCTACAAATAAACTGAGGAAGGAAGCCCAGGTGGAGGAACTACTCTAAGGAAGCATCACAGCTGCACAGGGGTCAACCAACGCAGCAGGCTCCCCCCCGGCTCAGCTCCTGTTAGCAAAGATTAGAGACAGTGCTGACAACCACGGGTGCCATAAATTGGAGCATTCTGCAGACTAAGATGGAATATTTTATGGGCTCTTGTGGGCAATATAGAAAATATTTAATGATGCATGCATCAAGATTTTAATTTATATTTTAAATGGAAAAAGTTAACAGGACAAGGTGGGTGCCAGCATCTCATTGAGTAAAGAACAAAGGGACTGGAAGCACAGTGCCCAGCATGCCCTGCGTGTTTGACATGACTTTCACTTTCTCCCTTTGTGTCTGTATCTGCATCTTGAAGTTGTCTTAGTTCTGTAACAGGGAGCACAAGGTCCTTTCAGAACAGACAGTGCAGCCCTGCCTTCCCAGCCCACCACCAGGACAAACTGGTTCAGAGAAGGCCCAGGGGCTGCAGGAGCTCTGGGGCTGTCCCAAGAGCACGGGCATCTCTACCCCTAATTGTAGGATACTGAGTACTCGGTGCACCCCAAAGCCTCCCAACTAGTGGAAGCCATCTCCAGCGAGTCCATGCAGAGCGACCCTGGGGCCCTCACCAACCCAGAGGAGGAAACACTCGCGGTGCCAGAAATCTCAGGGCTTTGGAAAGAGGACTACAAGCCATACCAGGTGACAGCCCTCTTCCCTGAACCCCTTATAGCTGTGCACCTTTGTTTGTGCCTTCTCATTGGTTCTCCCACAATCCTGTCTGTCCCACAGACCAACCTGGGCCTGACTTATGGCTGGTGACCATGGTGCTTCTGCCAGCTGTACCACCCATCTCCCACTTGCCACCTTCTCCATACAGTCCACTGCCCAGCCACCCCCTCCTCCAAACCATGCTGACATGGCCCCTGAGGAAACAGTGCTTCCTGTAGCACTTTGTGGAAAACTGTTTCTTGGCTTGATTTAAAAAGCAAGAAAAGTCCCCTCCTTACCTGTTTCCCAGAAATCTGCCTGAATCCTGGACGTCTCTGTTTTTTTATTCCTTTCGCTTTTCCTTCTGCCATGGTTGTGGACCAGAAATTAAGGTGGGGATTTCTTAAGGGTCTCACCAGGACGATGCACTCTTTCCTGCTCCACTGGCATCTGGAGGTCTTTGGCTCTGCATTTGGCCAACTCTGTCACCTCCAAATTGCCCTTAGTGGTCTTGCAGAGAGCCTGCAGTCCAGGCTGCAGTCAGTAAGCTGGACCTCTGTCCATCCGTATCTGAACCAGGTGCCCAAGGAGGATGTGGACCGGAAGCCTGTGGGTGGAACCAAGATGGACAAGGACATCCTGGCTCATACCATGGAGCGGCTGCGGAGTGGGGTGGTGCACAAGCAGGTGGTGTCTGGGCGTGAGTTCAAAGGCTGCCCCTTCAACAGCAAGCCTGAGCTCATCCACTTCAAGGTAAGCCCCTGCCATCAGGGCAGCGCTGGCAGTGGAGGAGTCCTTCCCTACTGTCCTACGTCTCGTGCATTTTCTCTTAACCCTGGTGCACAAGAGCCTTCCTCAGGCGGCGGGAGCCTAGAGGGGTGCCATCTGCCATCCAGATGGAGGCTGAGTGTGATAGGGGTGGTCTCGTTAGAGGGACCCGAGACCACCCCATGGAAGGCACACTCAAGGCAGGAAGCTCCATACCAGGGCCCTCAAAAAACTGTGCAATGCTGAGCCTCTGGGGCATATGGCAGGCCCTTGCCGGCCAGGCCCGTTCCAGTGGGCAGATTTCGACTTCACACGAGGTGAACCCAGAGAAGATGGATTTCGGCAAGTACAGAGTGGCAGATGAGGGAGGTTATGGAAGTCGTGTTTATCTGGTTACGTTTGTCCAGGTTTGTAGAAGAGAGTAGTCTAGTGGGTTCCCTGAATTTTACCTGTTCCGTGGTCCATCCAATGGAGTCCCTTCTCAGCACTGACCCCCTGGTCCCTGTAGAGCAACTCCTGCCTAGGCTTTTACAAGATGGGCTACCTCCTTGCCCTGCTCTACATGCACTCCAGGGAAAGGAGGGAAGCCCTTCTTAATTCAGAGGAAAGCCTTCCCTTGGGAACAGTTTATGTGATCCAGCTGGCTCTTAGAATGCTGATCGCTGACTTGTCATCATTGAAACCTTTCTCACTACCGTTGCTCTTTAGCACACATTCGCGGTTTTCCTGCACATGAGAAGAGAGTCGTAGAAAAGCTTCTTAAATGCTTACAGCTGCAGCTTCTCTCTGACACGTCTCCTCTGATATTTCTAGGACTTTGATATTGGCAAAGTGTACAAGAAAAAGATCACGTTGATAAACACCACCTACACAATTAACTACTGCCAGCTAGTGGGTGTGGAGGAACACCTCAGAGATTTCATCCGCATTGAGTAAGAGGACGGACTTGGGCTCAGAAGGGACGGGGGAATTGTCGGCAACATTTGTCACATATCATACCCCATTTAAAATGCTGCCTCTTAATATAATTTCTGCCTTGTCATGAGTTATAATAATTATATTCCGTTCTATCACCCAACCCTACATTTGTTTTAATCTCAGTTTTACTGTTAAATATATCCAGTGCTCACAACCAGACCTTTGACTGTATTTTATCTCTTGAAGTTGGGTGAAACCCATCCTTAGCAGAGTTCTCTCAAGAATGGCACATGGCAATGGTAATGCCAGCGTTCCTTCACATTTAGAACTTTTTATCTGGGATCTTTATACTTGAATGACAGTTTGTTGTCAAATTTTCCTGAAGATTTTGTAGAGGTTGCTCTTCTGTCTTTCTTGTGTTGAAGTCGTCTGAGACCAACCCGATTTTTTCCCCTTATAAATTACTTGAGCTTTTTGCCTGGCTGCCCCAGTTTTCTTTCTTTATTATTAGTTTTCATGTTGACCATTCTGGGTAAGTTTTCACTGACAGTTACCGTGTCTTTTCAATATGAAGATTAAACCCATCTTTTATTTCAGGACTATTTCTTTGAACCATATGTTTAAACTCTATTCCTTTCCAACGTTTCTTCTTCTGAGATGCCATTTATGTATATGTTGGATCTTCTTTGCTGGTTTTTTTATGTCTGTCATTTTCTTTCTGATTCTCTTCAATGCTTTCTTCTTTTCTTTTTTTTTTTCACATTTTCTATTTTTCATTTTTCTCACAATGATCTTTCTTGTGTTTTTGGCAGTGTCTCTCTTTTCTTCTGCCCCTTAGAATTTTACCTTAAGTTAAAGAAAATTTTATTTTTTTTCTTCCATTTCTTTCCTGATGTCTACCAAATTACATTTGGTTCTCCCATTGTTTTGGCATCGCTTCCAAAGTTCTTCTTTTTTTTTTTTTTTTTTTTTTTGATTTTTGTTTCATAGAAGTATTTGCTTTATTTTAAAATTTTTCAATCTTCTAATCTCTTTCATTTAACTGAAGAACTAATTCTGACTACATTTACTACAATTATTTATGTATTTGGATTTATTTTTACCATCTTATTTTGTATAAAAACCGTGGTGGCATAGTGGTTAAGAGCTACAGCTGCTAACCAAAAGGTCAGCAGTTCAAATCCACCAGGCACTCCTTGGAAACCCTATGGAGCAGTTCTACTCTGTCCTATGGGTTGCTATGAGTTGGAATTGACTCGATGGCAATGGGTTTAGTTTTTTGTTTTGGCTTGGTTTGGTTTATTATACTCTGTTGCTATTTTTCCCTTCTTTTTCTCAATTAATTTCAAAAATATACATTCTACTTCTGTTCATTTCATGACTCTTAAATTTTACATGCTTTATCATACTCTCTACACATACATACTATTTTTATTCTGAGATTTTTGAGAGTAAGTTTCAGACACTGTGATCCTTTAGCTCAAGAAATATTTTTAGTGATTTTTCTAGGTCTTTTACAGAAGAGCGTATGTGGGGCTGTCAGTGCCAGCTCCTTCCCTGGCTCACACTGTTGGTCCTGGTTGTAGGATGGCCACATGCCTTCAGAGGAGCTGTAGTCACTGATCACCCACAGCATCCTCTGGAGTCAGCCTCTCAGACTTGCCTCATTTATTCATTTGTTCATTCACTCAACAAATATTCAAATATTAATTGAGCATCTTCTGTGAACTGGGCACTGTCTGGGCACTGGGGAGATGGCAGTACACCCAACAGACCAAGAGTTGCTCCCCAGCACTCAGAAAGGCAGGCTGGGCAGGAGGAAGGGAGGTCAGAGGCCCAGCTCACTTGGAGGAGGTCCATCTGCCCAGGTGTGACCACTCTGCATAGCCTATCCCACCTGACCTGTGTCACTTGCATAGACGGCAAGTGTCCCCTTGTGTAGATCTAATCACATGTGCTCTGGTCCTGTGCCTGCAGCTTCAATCCCCCTGGTCCTATGTCAGCCGGGATGTCCTGTGAAGTGCTTGTCACCTTCAAGCCTATGGTGAGTGCTTTGACCCCAAAGCCAGGCAGTGTGGAAGGGGATTGTTCTCATGCTATTCTGTGGGGTGGTGGATGGAATCGGGTGCTGCTGGGTCCTCAGATCCCTGTGAAACACTAGCATGAAGAAAGGGGCACTCTGTGTCTCAGGAAGGCCACACAGGCCTTTGCTTTGCTGGACTTTATTTCCAAGAAACATTCACATGTCTGTGCAATTCTGTTCACAGTTACAGTGCTGCCCTTGGTTCCCTGCTGTGGGGAGGGTCCAGGACTTAACTTCTCTACTCTCAGGTCCACACACAGCGTGTATGACCCTCCTGAGCATCTTCTGCTGACCTCCTCCCCGGGATTTTGGGCAGCAGGCAGGCCCAGTCAGACCATGGCTATGTAGAAACACATAGCATGTGCAACTGGGTAAAGTTACAAACACTTAGTGGTTGGGATTGCTTTATTGTTTAGATAAATAAAGATCTGGAAGGAAACGTCTCGTTTTTGGCTCAGACGGGTGGATTTTCTGTTCCACTAAAATGTTCAACCAAGAAATGTTCCGTAAGTTCCAAAATGTCTGAAGTGGTGTTTCTCAGGACACCCTGTGTGCATCCTGTGTGTGAGGGGCATGGAGTGTGGGCATGGTGGCAGCAGCATGCGTCAGGGTATGTGCACATGTATGTGCACGCACATGTGCATGTGTGTAGGTAGGGCGTGGGCATGATGAGGGCCGTGTGCTCCCGTGTGTGCAGCAGGGGGAAGCGTGGCGCACAGCTCGGGTCGGCTCTGACCTGTTCTTAGGTGGGTGACATGTAGCAGATGTTCTGAAAAGATAAGCACTCAGACAACACTGAAAGAACAAGGCTAGAGCCTGCTCTGTGTGTCCTCAGACCATAGGACCCTCCGGTACGAGACCCCGGGAGTCTTCCGAGAAGACTGTGTTCCTTCCCACAGATCTTTGTGTCCCCTTGAGTCTTTTTTTTCCTGCCACCCTTGCTCCATCTAGCTACCTGTATGTGTTTGCTGACTCACTTCAAAGTAAATAAGTGACATCATAACACACCACCCTTCACCCTTTAACAGACTTCTGCCCTGAAGTGCACTTACACTGGACAGCAGAGGAAGCTGAGAATGGGGCTTGTGAAGCTGTCCCACCGCTCTGGCCAAGGGTGGGTCAGGGGGAGGTGGGCAGGAAAGAGGAGTGTGTCCTGTAGGGACCTCAGGCCTGACCTCCACATCTTATCTCCGCAGCTGTGCTTCCGGGGCCTTTATGCAGAAAGAAAAAAGGAAACACTCTAATTCTGTCAGTGAGACAGTCATTTCTGCCATTTGCCAGAACATAGTCACAAATCTACACATAAACCTAGTATTTCCCTGGTGTGGACAAGTCCAGGGTGGGCAGAGGGCTGGTGAGAGTGGAGACCTGCTGGGGCTGCTGCAACATGTCCCAGCCACAGCAGCTCAGGCTGCCATGTCCTTTTGCAGCTGTCCCTTGATAAGAACCTCATCGACTTTGGCAGCTATGTGGTGGGCGAGACTGCATCTCGGGTCATCACGCTGACCAACATCGGTGGCTTGGGCACTTGGTACAAGTTCCAGCCTACATCTGAGTCCTGCGAGCAAGCCACCTCCCTGAATACAGTGAGTGAGCCGCCTGGGTTGGCCAGCAGGCTAGTTGGAGTTTGGGCTGAAGCTCAGGGGAGCCAGAACTAGGATAAAGCCTGGAGGGGCTGACCTGGCAGGGAGAGTGCAAAATGAGAGAGCAGTACCTGGGACTACCTCAGGGCACTCAGGCAGGAGGACGGTCTGTCCCCAAGACCAGCTGAGGAGGAAGGAGTGTCCGTGATACTGAAGGCCGTCTGGGATGGAGTGGTGGGGGGGTGAGCTCTGCACAGGCCTTGAGGATCTGTAGCCATGGGCAGGCAGAGCATGGGCAGCGTGGGACCACAGCCAGAGGGTTGGGGCCCTGCTGGCCGTCAGGGACATTGACAAAATGAGATGGGAAAGTCGCCAAGTGCAGACATTTTGTTCTCTTTTTAGAGCAGTGTCTTCATATACGAAGACAAAAATCTATATGATAAAGTCATCATGCCCAGTGTCTCTGAGAACCTGTTTGAGGCCAATGAGTCTCCACCCATGGAGACTGGGAAGACGGAGAGCAAAGAGCCGGAGGAGGGGTGCCACGCAGGTGAGCTGGCCCCACCAGTCGTCCAGCATGTAGCCCTCAGCCATCCCCAGCACAGGATACTGAACCCCCTTCCTGCCCCTGACTCCCCAGGTGACAATGGGGACTTACGCCCTGGGCTGCATGTGACAGGCCTAGAGGAGGGGGAACGGCAGGCCTGAGGGTTCTAGGGTGCAGTGTCTCAGGAGCCCACAGTGCCAGAGGGGCAGTTCACCCCAAGGACGGTACGTAGCCATGCTGCCGAGGCTGTGGGATTTTCCCAGGGCTTCAGTTTTCATGTTGGCAGTAAGAAAATGTTCTTATATTTAGATAAATATGGCTGTGGAGTAGACTGAAACTTGCATTTGTAGTTTAGTTAACAGAAGACTCAGGAACTGCCAGGCCTGCCTGGAGGAGGGTAAGGAAAGAGGGCTTAAGGGAGCAAAGGCCAAGCTGATGTGTCCCTGATAGCACTGGGCTGTCTAGAGCCACCCCAGCCTTTGTCTTTGTGGTGGTGGTTGTGTATACAGAAGCATATATAACATGCTCGTACAGTTTACAGTGAGCATCAGGCACCCAGCCCTGAGCTCAAGAAGGAAGAGAAACCTCAAACTTGAAGCCCCCTGCCACCCTCTAGGACCCCCACTGTAAAAGGGGAAGAGTAGTAATAGTAGTAGTACTAGTAGCATCCAAACCTGGTTAACCTCAGGGGGGATAATGCAAATCATGATCAGCCCAAGGCTGATCCCTGTAAGGTGGAGGTCACACATACTCTACTCTCCAACTTTTTACCAATTCTGACACCAGCCATCCCACCCATGGCGTTCTCCTTTTCTTCTGGGTTCGGTAATCCATTGCAATTGCCACACAGAACTCACAGACCATACTTACAGTTAAGTGGTTTATTAACAAACAGGCTACAAGTCAGGAATCAGGATCAGGAAGCATGTAGGCAAAGTTGCCCTTCTCCAGTGCAGGGCAGCTCTCTCAGCTCCTTTCGGCCCCCTTCAGGACAGGCTTCTCTTGGCCCTGCCGTCTGTCACCATTGGCTCTGCTGCTGGGCCCCTTCCAGGCCTCTCACTGTCTTCAGTGTTACAGCCTTCAACCTGTTACAGCTCTTTTAGGAGGTTCCTTGCAGCCTCTCTCTCTGCTTTTTCCTGGTGCTTCTCTTCTTACTTCTTTCTGTCTCACCAACCACTGTGCAGCTGGCTGCATATGTATACACAACCCCCTGTCAATTTCAAGGCATGGCCCCTACCAGCGAGGGGACCACAAACTGACCAATTCCCTCTTGGTAGGCCACAGTCACTTCATTTGCATAGTAGGCAGGGCTGGGCTACAACTCACCTTATTTGCATAGTCTACTGACCAATCCCTGCAAGGTGCATGCCAATCACAGGACAGGCCGCAGCCCAAGACCAAAAAAAGAGTCTCAAACCAAGTTGTTTACAGCTTACCCAGGAAATGTTAACCAAGCTGGACAAAAGTAACAAACCCTCTGGGGTAGAAACTAGGGCAAAGGTAACTCCTCAGGGTGTAAGGGAAAAATCTCTCAAGCTGTTTTTCTCAGGCTGTTCCTGTGAAAGGAACTCATTTTACCACACCCACCCTGTGCCTGCGGGCTTGAGCCATGTTTACCTTTTCCTTGCCTTCTTTATCCTGCCTTCTTTATACTTTCTCCACATGGGCACATAGACCCAGAAGGCACAGTTTTCCCCAGTTTTCAGCCTTTATATCACTGGAACCATAATGAACATGTCCTTCTTTGAGTTGGTTTTGTTGCTGAGGTTTATGGTGTCCCCATGTGAACCGCACCACCTTTGTGTATGTCCCTTAAGGTGGAGCTCTGTCCTCCTGCCAGTGGGCATTTGGGAACTTCTGAGGCATATGCTAAGGGGGACAGTGAGGCTGTGACTATCCTCACAGGCATCTCTTTGTGCCACCTGCACAGGATACCTCCCTGGGCATGCTGCAACGCAGGTGTGCTGCCTCCAGTTTCAGCAGCTAGAGCCAGCATGGCTTTCATTTTGGCTGCACCATCACACTCCCACCAGCACTGGATGTGCAAGACTCCACTGTGCCTATTTAAATTCAAATTAATTAAAAGTAAATAATAGTAAAAATTTAATTCCCCCTTCACACTGGCCACATGTCACGTGCTCACGAGCTACATGTGGCTAGTGGCTGCTACACTGAACAGCACAGAAATAGGACATCCCCTTCATCACAGAAAGTTGCTATTTCACCACTAAACAGAACATTAGTTGTAGGGTTTTATAGATGCTATTTCTCAAGCACTGGTTTAGAGCCCCTTCACTCCATATCCGCACATGCATGAGAAGGCCAGACTGCACAGTTAGTCGTCTGGGAGGTCTGTGGGATTGCATAGTGCTATTAGGTGCCATAGAGTCAGCTCTGACTCATAGCAACCTTATGTATAACAGAAGGAAACATTACCCAGTTTCACACCTTCCTACAATCATTGCTGTATTTGAGCCGATTATTGCAGCCACTGTGTCAGTCCATCTCACTGAGAGTATTCCTCTTTTTCTCTGACCCTCTACTTTACCAAGCACGTTGTCCTTCTCCAGCAATTGATCCCCCCGATGACATATCCAAAGTAAGCAAGATGAAGTCTCATTATCCTCGCTTCTAAGAATCTTTCTGGCTGTACTTCCTTCTAGACAGATTTGTTCATTCTTCTGATAGTCCGTGGTATATTCAATATTCTTCGCCAACACCGCAATTCAAATGCATCAAGTTTTCTTTCGTCTTCCTTGTTTGTCGTCCGGGTTTTCCCATGCATATGAGGCGATTGAAAATACCATGGCTTAGGTTAGATACAGCTTAGTCGTCAGTGTGACATCTTTGCTTTTTAACACTTTAAAGAGGTCTTTTGCCACAGGTTCATCCAATGCAATACGTCATTTGATTTCTTGACTGCTGCTTCCTTGGGCGTTGTTGATCCAAGTAAAATGAAATCCTTGACAACTTCAGTGTCTTTACTGTTTGTCATTAGGTTGTTTATGGTCCCAGTTGGCAGGATTTTTGTCTTCTTTATGTTGAGTTGTAATCCATACTGAAGGCTGTAGTCTTTAACCTTCATCAGTAAGTGCTTCAAGTAGAGTTTACTTTCTGCAAGCAGGGTTGTGTCATCTGCATATCTCAGGCTGTTAACGAGTCTTCCTCCAATCCTGGTGCCACATTCTTCTTCCTGTAGCCCAGTTTCTCGGATTATTTGTTCAGCATTCAGATAGAATAAGTAAGGTGAAAGGATAAAACCTTGCTATACACCTTTTGAACCACACAGTATCCCCTTGTTCTGTTCAAATGACTGTCTTTTGATCCATGTACAGGTTCTGCATGAGCATAATTAAGTGTTCTGGAATTCCCATTCTTCCCAATGTTACCCATAATTTGTGATCCACAAGTTGAATTCCTTTGCATAGTCAATAAAACACAGGTAAACATCTTTCTGGTATTCTCTGCTTTCAGCCAACATCCACCTGACATCAGCAGTGATATCCCTTGTTCCACATCCTCTTCTGGATCTAACTTGGACTTCTGGAGTTCCTTGTTGATGTACCGCTGCAGGCGTTTTTTAATTATCTTCAGCAGAATTTTGCTAGCATACACTATTAATGATATCGTTCAATAATTTTGCATTGTCTTTGTCGGTTTTAGTATCGGAGTTACGCCGGACTCACAAAGCAAATTGATACGTGGTCTCAGCACTCCCCTCCTCATTTTCTGAAAAAGTTTGTGTAAAATCTGTGTGTCTTTCTTAAGTGTTTGGTAGCATTCACCAGTGAACCCTCTGGACGTGGAGTTTATGTGGGAGGAGTGGGAAGGTTTTTGATAAATGAATTCAATTTCTTTAAAAGATATAGGGCTGTTCAGATTTTCTACTCATCTAAATTGGCGAATTTGTTGGCAGGAAGCTCATTATATTCCCTCATGATCCGTTTAATATCTGTAGGCTCTGCATTGAAATCCCTTTTCTCATTCCTGATGTTGGTCATTTGTGGTCTCTCTAATTTTTTTTTCCCTTGATCCATATGGCTGGATGCGGGGGGGTGACATTTCAATTTTGTTGATCTTTTCAAAGAACCAGCTGCTGGCTTTGTTCATTTTCTTTATTGTTTTCCTGTTTTCTATTTCATTGATTATCTTCATTTTTTCCTTCCTTCTACTGACTTAGGGGTTGCTTTATTCTTCAGGTTTCCCCTTAAGCTAGAAAATTAGATTACTGATTTTAAATCTTTTTTCTGTTAGAATGTAAGCACTCAAAGCTATAAATTTCTCTCTAAGTACTGCTTTAGCAGAATCTCACAAATTTTAATATGTTATTTTTCATTATCATTCAATTTGAAATATTTTTAATTCCCCTTGTGATTTCTTATTTGATTCATGGGTTATTTAGAAGAGTATTGTTTAATTTCCAACTATTCAGAGTTTGTCTAGATAACTTATTGACTTCTAATTAAATGCTATTGTGGTCAGAGAACATATTCTGTATTTCAATCTTTTTAAATTTGTTAAGGTTGTGAGATAGACCAGTATATGGTCTATTGTGGTGAATGTACCATGTGCACTTGAAAATAATTGTATCCTACTGGGTAGAGTGTTCTGTATGTCAGTTAGAGCCAAGTGGTTGATAGTGTTCTTCCGATCTTCTGTGTCTTTTTTTTTTTTTGGTCTAGTTTTTTCAGTTACAGAAAGGCTGATATAAAAACCTGATTGTAGATTTGTCTGCTTCTCACTTTAATTCTGTGAATTTTTGAAGCTCTGTTATTAAGCAGTAAGATCCCTGGTGGCACAGTGTGTTAAGCGCTTGGCTGCTAACCTGAAGGCAGCAGTGTGAACCCATCGGCCGCTCCACAGGAGTAAAATGTAGCAGTCTGCTTCCATAAAGATTACAGCCTTGAAAACCTATGGGGCAGTTCTACTCTGTCCCTTTGTGCCACTATGAGTCAGAGGAGAGCAATGGGTTTGGTTTTTTGGTTATTAAGCATATATATGTT